TTTTGTTTTTAAATATTTTTATTGGGTAATTGGGGGAAGGGGAACAGACAAGTTGCTGTCGTTTTGTTCTTCAATCTAGTTGTGGAGGACGCTGCTTCACTGGCCCAAGTTGGCACCATCATTGTGCTCTTCCCGGGCGAGGCAGATCAGTCGCAGGTTTCTGGACGGCCGCTCACTGCGGCTGCTGGCCGCTCACGCTGGCTGCTGGCTGCTGGCTACATACAGTAGCCCATGGCAACCCACTGCCACAGGGACTGCAGCCTACGCCGTCGCCAGCGACTCACGGCAGCCCAGCTCCAGGTTGAGCTGTTGTTCAGCATCTTAGCTGTGGAGGGCAGTGTCACTGGCCCTCATATGTGGGATCCGAACCGGGGCCCTCTGGCATCCCAAGCGAGTTCTTAACCATCGCGCCACTCGGCCGGCCCATAAAAATCTTATTGTCATGAGATTTTCCTTTTTGAATAAAGTGGCTCATATCTGGTGCTTCTTTTTCAGGGGGCAGTTGGGAGAGGAAAAGTAAGTTTTGTAGATAAAAGAAACACACCCACACCCTTCACTTTTAGATTAGTGACTTTTTTGAGATGCTACAATACCAATTAAAGATTAGAAATATCTTCCAAAGATCTTGTCCTCATATTTACAAAGGTCATACAAATGTCCTCATATAGTTCTATCTAATAAATTCTGTTTTCCTTCATTTCTATTTTCTTGTTCTTATTACAGTCTTCAAAATCATCATTTTAAATTTAACATTATTTGAATTTCAATATCAATCATAGAAAATAAGAAGAGCAAAGGTTAAGTTTTGTGGTATTGGATTTTCATGTTATGTACTTAATGCATGTCTTATCAATGAATAACATATGATTAATATGTATTTAACAAAAGATATAGATTCCACTGTGAAAATACTAACATTTATATATCTATGTCTATGTCTATAGCTATCTATTATCTATCTATCTATCTATCTATCTATCTATCTATCTATCTAGCTAGCCAGCTATCATCAATCTATCAAATTTGTCTCTAAGTAGATAGACAGAGAGAGTTATTGAGGCCTTAATCTTAAAACCAAGGTGACCCTTAGTTTTGAAAAATACAGAGCACTATAATGAATACTTAGCAAATTATAGTCTGCAAGATAACTCTTAATTGTACGTTGATAATCATAGATAATACTTATTGCACACTTATTTGTGCTAGGCAATGTGCTAAGTGCTTTATGTACATTAATTTATTTAGTCTCACAAGAAAGCCATGGGTTAGGCATTTTACCCTCATTTTACAGGTGAAAACACAAACTTGGCATTGAATGACTTATTCAAGGTCCCATGCTAATTAGTGGTAGAGCTAGGCTTTAAACCCATGGCGGTGCAATTATACACACAGTGAATTGAACAAGATCAGATAGGTTTAAATTCCCTGTAAAGCTTTTGATTAGTTAAATATGCTGTAGATAAAAAAATATAATAATTATGACAAGACCAAGAAATGTTAGAAGACAGGGTTTAAAGGACAAGGATAGATACATAACTTCTCCTTTGAGAAGAAGGAGTAGGTGAGAGAGTTATGGTAGATGAGATGGCAGTGGTAGTCCTGTAAAACTGTGAAGTAAGCATCAATTATTTGCCCTGTTGCTCAGAGCTTGCGCTCTTAACCAATTGAGCCACTTGGCCGGCCCTGCCCTGAGTTTTGAAGATTTATAAGTGAGACAGGCCATATTGTGAAGGGTGGGATGGAAAGGTAGAGCCTTCCAGGCAAAGAGAGCAGGTGGTATAAAGGCAAGAAGGTCCAAATGAGTTTGGCTAGGTTAGCATGGCAATAGATGGGCCTGAAGACTTAAGAGACAGATCAGCAACTCCAGGGCTCAGGATCACAGAGGTTCATATGAAGCTCTGGAGGAAAGGCATGATGAGAGTTACATGTTAGGAAAACACCCTGGCTAATGTGTGGGGAGGGCCCATGCTGGAGAGGACACATTAGGAGGCTGGTGGAGGACAGGAGGGAAATGACAGGGGCTGCCCATGGGCAGCGGTATGGGGTTGGCGAGAGGAACAGCTCGGAGTGTTGAAGAAACCAAGGGAAGAAAAGTTTCAAGGAGGAAGGACAGTCACCAGTGTCCAATGATGTAGAGAAAAGATGTCCATTGGGTTTCATGACAAGAGGGTCCCTGGTGACTTTTTCTAGAGCAGCCTCAAGTGAGCAGTTCACAAAGGGGGGCTGCAGAGTAACCAGGGATGAATGGAAAGGAAACGCAGTGAGTGCAGCCTGTGAGCTTTCTCCTTTTCTGCTACTGCCTGTGGTGATCTCCTCCTCTACTTCCATTCTCGGGGGAAGAAAAAGACATTTATTGGGCAATTAATGAAAGCCAGTACATTTTGTAAGCCTCATAATGACTCTATGATGAAGGGCCTACTCTAATCTTCATTTTATAGGTGAAGAGTGGAGGGTTTGAGAGGTTTATACACCGGCCCATGGCCCACTTGGCAAGCAGCAGTCCTCTAGTTCAAATCCAGGTCTGTCTGATTCCAGAGCTCACAATCCAGCCATTACCCTCTTCTAAAATCAGTCTTCATGCTTGCTCTTTTCTCCTCTCCTTCCAAGTCTGTCTGCAGTCACAGAGCTAATAAACACATTCTCCCAAAAACATAAATGGATAAAGTTAAACGTGTTCTTTTTCCTGAGGCATTTTGGAACGACCATGCATGTGCTTATTTTATACCTTTATTGTGAAATAGAACACACAAACAGAAAAGTGAATGCACGTGAGTGTACAGTTTGATGAGGCGTTGCCAAACCTCCAGAAATTGCTGTGATTCCTTCCCTATCCCATTCGCCTCCTCTCAGAGGCCACCACCAGCCCAACTTCTGTGGCATTATTTCCGTGCATTTCTCTGTAGTTTTCCCCTCTGAATCACGCATCCCTAAACAATCGAGTTTAGTTTCGCCTGTTTGTGCACTTGATGTAGGTGGAATTATGTGTATTCTTCTGTGGCTTGCTTCTTTAGTTCAGAATTATATTTTGTGTTGTGTGTGGCATTAGTGCATTCATTTTCCATGCTGAATAATATTTCATTGTATGAATTGACCATGTTATCTATCCATTTTATTGTTTAGGGATTTGTGGGTATATGCTGGTTTTGAACAATTGTGACCAATGTTGTCCCTTTTTCCATTAAGTCGAAGTCAAGAAGCTCTAAGAATGCAATTTTAAATATCTTTAACTATTTTAGAGGGTTGGGAGCCCTTTCCAAGTCCCTTGAAATGACCCCCACAGGTGGTTCCTGTGGGGTTCCTGATTTGCTTACTCACAAAACCAAGCATGAGGACTGTGAGGAGCATTTCTCAATTACAATGTTTAAAGAGGTCAGGTGAACTGAAAAAACAAAGAAACAGTTATTACCAGATCTCCATTTCCCCTAGCTCTTCCACTTCATTGTTGCAGTCTTAGCCAAATACAGTCAGCTTGCATACTTTCCTACATCAGCCCTTTGATCAGCAAAGTAATTTCTTTTCCTTCCTCTGTCCAAATCTTTTGATTATACTAAGCTCATTCTTTGAAGAACAAACATGGTAAAAAAATATGAACAACTTGAATAATTTTAGCAGCTATGTAAAATAACTGATTTTGCATGGGATAACATAACTTTGATTTTTGTAAAGTGAATCACTGAAATATAACACAACCAGTAATAAGGTCAAAATATGTCATATCTTTAATAACAGCATAGAAGGTAGACATAATGTAGTATAGTGGTTCAGAATATAGGCTCTGGAGATAGACTGAGATCAGGATCTAGCTCTGCCTCTTACGACCTGTGTCACCTGGGTGAATGTCTTAACCTTTCAGGTTCGGCTTTCACAAACCATGAAAATAATAGACATACTTATTTTATCGGGCTGTTGTGAGCATCCAATAAGAAAACGTATATGTATTTAACGCAGAGCCTGCTTTGTAAAAGCTTAATAAATGTTAGTTATTGTTGATATATTTAGCCCATCCAAAGGGCAGAATAACCGGAGTAGTTATTAACGGGGCTTGACAGAGACAGTCATCTACTTATGTCATAGCTATTTATTCAATATTTAATAGTCTCCTCTCCTGCAGCTGAGGCTGAGGATTATACAGAAATAGTATTTGTGGAGATGAGCAATTAGATCAGAGACAAGTGGCAGTATTAAATAATAAGACATGTTTGGAAATAAAGTAGGAAGGGACTGTGGATCGATCAGTCAGGGGTACAACTTTCCAGGACTTGTAGTTTGAATTTGGTCTTAAACTGAGTATTACGAGGAGACACAACTTTGCTAAGAAAAAAGTTGGTCCTTTCATCCTGAAAATGTGTTGTGTGAAGAAAAGAGTGGGGAAGGAGTCAGATCTCTTTCGGAGACGTTAGCAATGGATCAGGTGTGGGGTGAAGAAGGGAGGAATGGCTGGCAGAGTAGTTTGTTAAGTGGCATCCTTAAGATTCATGTATTTATTAGATGGTAGGAAAAATAAGGATTTAATTCCATTTGGGTTGGCTCACTGAATTATAAACGCTTAAGGTAAATTGTAACTGTACGGTATCCAGTGTGGCAGATTATAGGAAAGTGGTAATATTTTGGCAAAATAAGCTCTCCGTATTTTCCTTCTCGTACTAAATATATAAATAATGAAGCATCTTGACATTTCAAAGTCTTAAAATTCATATTGAAACGCCAGTTGTGAAATTCCTATAAGAGAGCCGTTTGAGTATATATATATATATATATATATATATATATATATATATATATATATATTCCTCTTTTCCTTTGTCATTAGATAAGCCTCCTTCGCCACAGCTTCGATTGCAATTTGAAGAAAATTTTATTTTATAGCTTGGCTGTAAGGATTGCTCCCAGAAGCTTGCTGTGAACCCCCGCAATCTCTTGACGACTCCCCCAGGTCGGGAGAATCCACTAGATGGCGCCCAGGTCCACTGCTGCACGTTGCCTCCGCTGGGCGTAGAGCTGGGAACAGCTGTGGGGTTTCTAAGAATGGCCGGAGAGATCCCTGTGACCCATGTGGAGCAGCTTGCATAAGGTTTGCTCCGAAACGCTGTAAGTGTGGTGCTCCTTCAAACTGTAACTGTAATGGAATCACCAAATATGGGCAATGATGGTGTGGTTTTGAGTACGAGAAAGCCTGCAATTTTGCTCTATGCGATTTAGCCACGAGCAGGCAGGCTAGGCGGGCCGGCAGGCATTTAGCGGCAGTTCACAGCCTATTCATGGGCCAACACCATGCTAGCGACCTAGAAGTTACATAGAAGCTACTCCTTAACGCGCACATACTGATTTAGGCAAAGCCACTGGTATTTACGGGAAAGGGGAGGAAAAAAAAAAAAAAGACAAGGTATCAAAGAGGGAGAGATTATTTTAATACTAGCTTTCATGCAGACACAATCATCTCGCATTTCTGTCAGACAATTGAACGCTGCTTGATATGCAAAATCGAGGATATATTCTGATGTAGATTTCAGATAGTAGGAAATGAGTAATTTTGTTTTTCTTTTGAATAGCATTGGGCGGTTTTCTGTGTTTTCATGTATGAAATGCTGAAGGCTTTGTAAAACTATCTTATACTTTATTAATAGTCTTGTAAAAAAAAAGGGACAGATCTCGTCTTTTCAATTCTAAGTAGTGGATAATGACTTTGGCAGCATTTCCCTGCGTTTTTCAAGTTTCTCATTCTGGAGCTTGTCACATCAGTGTTGCTTCTTAGGTGATTAAAAAGAAGCAGCGGGATCTTGGAGAAAACGTCTGACAAAAGGTAATGGAAACTTGGTAACAGATGAAAATCCGCGATAGATTAGGCGTAACCCGCTGGGAAAATCCTCTCTACTAAATACACGAGTGCATTTCAGCTCAGGAGCAAAAATAAGACTGTTCTTCTGAGGCTCTTAAAAAACCTGACCTATGCTGGCCCCACAAACTAGGTTTATATGAGGCTCCCTGAAGGTGATTAGACCCAGGAGGAGCTGTTTTTCTGCAGTTTAGTTTAGGAACTCAGCGCCAGCCAAGTGCAGCTGCTAGTTGGCAGGTTCAAAGGTATGGAGCTTCTTTAATTAAAAACCACCAGGCTCATTTTAATTTTGGTCAAAATAGATTCTATTTAAAAGTCCTGTGGAATAAAACAGTATTCTTATTTCCTTTTCTCATCATTGAGCAACACTCTTATTCCCATTCCGATCCATCCTCTGCTATCATAATAATGGGAGGGTTCGATAAGGAATTCTGAAAATCTCCCCAGGGTTATGCTTTTGGTTCAGAGGTACACAGGAGTTCAACATAAACATTTTAAGAAAAAAAACCCCACATAATTTGGGGTGTATGGAAATTGTGGAGTAGTCACAGAGCCATTTCTTAAAAATGTTTTTGCTAATAATTGTGACAGGCTAAAAGTGGACGAGCATTATATACAATTCTGGAAAGTGTTTTGTCTGGCGTTCAGCTGGTTTGTTTATTGTTTTGAAGCAGGGAGATTGATACGCAATTTAATCCAGAAGTAAACTACTTTTTCTAAAATAAAACATTAATTTTCATTAAAATATGGTATTTCAATATGCAACTAAGAAAACTGATTTCTGGTGTGTTATAGTGAAAAGCCTGGAAGTGACAAAAAGGATGGCTGAAAACAGGTTATAGTTAACCATATATATCTCTAGAAGTAATATACTTTTCACCTCTGGGTGCCACTGTTCAACTGCTTCTTGTTTTTTATGACTGTTTGAAAGCCTGATGCTTCCTGTAGATGTATTCTTAAAGGAATCTGTTAAAGAGACATTTCCTCTATCTGTAGTTATCTGCTAAATAACTTTTTGGCACATGGATGTAAATTCAGTGTGGTTGTGATTTGCTATGTTAATTACCAAATGATGACCAAATAACATTGAAGATTGTTTATGTGGGCGATTGGCCAGGTTAAAAGCCTGATTTCATCTCCCATGGAAGTGAATCTTGTACTTACCTTTTTTGGTAGTCATTTAACCAGAAAAAGCCATTAAGACACAAGGGAGTTTTAGTTTGAATTTGTTGTCATTTGTAGACATGATTTTAATTCTGCACAAATATTTCAATAGAAATCGATTTTATAAAAGGGACATAGTGTGTAGACATTGAGGGAATTAATTCAAATAGAATTTAAGAATCTGACATTCACTGAGATTTTGTTTTTCACTTAATTTTAAAGCTTAACTGTTTTAGTATTTCCATTAAAGAAAACCCTACAGAAATCTTTTCAGCATTCTTAATTCTCAGATATGATTGTTTTAATAACTAAAAATAATAATCATATTTGTACTTTTACAAAATGTCTGAGTAATGTTTTCTTTTTACAAACTAGAAAGTGACTTAATATTCTCTACCAAGAAGCAAACGCATATGTTTACTTGGGTTTTAATCTCCAATTCTTTATTTTAAACTTGGGGTTCATCTGAAATGCCAGAGAAGGGGTTGTAATGCCAAAGTTAATTTTGTTTTGTCGTGTACAAAGTAGTTAATCTAAAAATTATTGATTGATATTCCTTTTTTAACTCTTTTAGGACTCAATATTTAAAGCAAAACTAATTTATCTAGGTGTTCCACGGCACAAAATTAATTCTACTGGGACTGATCCAGGCAGAGCCTCATTATGGGACAGTTCCTCTCGCTGAACTAGCCTAAGCCAGATTTTTACTGGGGACTTTTTCAAAATTATTCACAAAACAGAACTTAACCCTTAAGATACCACAGGATTGACTTTCAACATTACACTTATTAGGCCATTTATGGTATCAGGGACACATTGCATGAGAGTATGTCTTCCCCGTGTCGGTGCTGCCTGGGACTTTTAAATTAGGCAATCGTAATTGTGTATATTGGAGGGATTTTAGTTTCATGATTTATATACCAGAGTTGAAGTATGCATTTAAAAAAGTTTTTCCCCTGCTCCAGGCTGTCACCAAAAGCTTATTGCTGACCTTGTCTTTTTTCATTTATGTATAAGTGGTGGTGAATTTACCTCTTTGCCTGGGTGGCCAAATAGTTGTTTAGATCACCCAGCACGTTTGACTGACTTTCTTTGCTCAAATGCCTGACTGAATCAATTTGTTATTTTGGTGTTTTTGTACATCCAGAGAGCCCAAGAGTGTAACTGTTAACACATCCGTTATTTATTCCAGCTACAAAAGTAGTTTTGCATCATTTATACTTTGTGTGTGTGTGTGTGTGTGTGTGTGTGTGTGTGTGTGTGTGTGTGGTTTTCTTATAATTCTTATAATATCTGTGTACAATATTACTGGGTGATGGACTTTTAAATGTCAATTTTTATGTTGACTTTTTGCCTGTTGTGCAGTGGTTTATAAGGATTTTTCCACTGGAGAATCTCTTGCATTTTAAGGTTCTTTGCTCATGGTGGGCATCTCACCAAATTTTTTCATTAAAATAGTTTTACTCATTCAAAGTGCCTCATTTTCCATTAGAATGTTACTAACTTGGCACCATCTATGTATTTCTTTGGCTGGTAAGAAGTATTTATTTGGTGGTAGTGACGAGGCACTGTGCCCAATCTACCAGTGAGGTCTTCCACAGAGAATCATACGGTGGTAAACTTGAGTGTGGTTAGGTGTCTATGATGGAAAATCAATAGTTTAGTCTTTAGGTGGTTGCTTGATCTCCATGCTAATAAACCAAAACCTTTCTTCCCCCCACCAAGAACTGGCAGATTTCCATTCAATTAGTAAGTTGACTTGTTGCCTCATTCTCACATAGATGTACCAACAGAAGCTTTGCAATTATGTGGTGAAGCCTAATTCATCGATTCAAACTCATTTTATCTGAAATGCAATAACAATTGCTCAGTTTTCCTAATTTAAAAATAGCCTAAATCAATTTTCTGGGCTATCATTAAACCACACTAAATAACAGGATTAATAAGTAAACATTTAAGTAATTCTGTGGTGCTTGATAAGGAAATCCCATTGGTTTATGCAAAATTAAGTTGCAAAAATCACGTATATACTATGTCCTATTGTTTAAAATAAAGTAGATATTTAAAACAAGCTTTGTAAAAACATAGATTAGCCAGTCAATTTAATTTCTCTGTAAAATAGAGTTTTAATAGAATCTGTTGCCTTGTGAAACCGAATTTTCAATCTATAATGTGCGTCTGTTATAAATCCATTATAAAAGGTATTTAAACTTCATAGACACCACCATCCTCTCCCCCCATATTCTCATTAGCCTAGGTGCACTAAGAAAGAATAAAGCTCTGTACTTTGTGGACATTTAATAAACATAAATTTTTTTATTAACAGTTTAAATATACTCTCCAAATAGATGTAGATCTATTGTAGTTCAAATCCCTTCACAATAAATAACAGGGTCCAGGAAATTTTGGAAAGGTTTGTGGTTCCCCACAAGAAAGTGTGCTTAGAGCTTAGAAGTGAACATTTTACAATTTTTTTTCTGCACCTTCGTTCTGCAGATAGCAATACTACCAACAATGAAGGAGAAACCCTGAAAAAAGAATGCCCTTTCCAGTTGGCAAATTTTTTTTTTTTAAATTTCAGGTGGAAAATCCCCATTGAATTAGCTTTAAAATAAAAAAAATTAAATGTATCCTGGGAACATGCTGTTCAGGATTTCGGAATGGGAACTTCAAACGAAGTTGGTAAGGGAGTCAAATGCGTAAGTGGAAACTTTGAGGAAACTGGCAATGAGAGACTGGAAATCGGGCAGTCATTTACGTTTTACTCCACCCCCCTCGGCATGTGTGAGTACAAAGCCAGGGCTGGCAGGGCTGTGAGTCAGAATTCTCCTCTCAGGAACTGAGCGGAGAGAGATTCCCAGCATCTGTTTCCTCAACTATCACCCAGAGGATACCGGTGGTAAATCACAGGGGATAAAAATAGCCTTAGAAGTCTAGTTTCAAACAAATGAGACATGGTGGATGTTTGATGGTGGTGTGGAGTCTCTTCTCTCCAAATTCATTAGCTAATTAATAAATAAATTATTATTTTTACATTAATGATTATATTGCTTAAGCTGTTTATCAAAATGTTAAGCAAAATCTTGACATTTTTATTGCTCTGAATTGAGTTATTACCTGTGACATGTGTTTGATACTAAAATTTGAACCATGTAGCTTAGTCTATAATCAACAATCACACATATTCAAGCTTTGCTTCAGACACCAAAACCATGTATTTCTGAAATTAACAAACAATCCTGCGAGCTTCTTACCATAATGTCCATTGCCGGTACACTGATAAGATCTCTCTCTACATTTGGCTGCAGGACATTTTATGACCAGAATCTTACAATTTAATACAACTTAAGATCCTTTAAGGTTATATTTCACATATGAGGAAATATTTCTTAGGTCTCGCTAGAATTGTTGTAATTTGATATTAAGTTATAGTTTCAGATTTTCAACAAAAACAGCCACTTTAATAGATGAGATTAGCAAGTGGTGAAAAGTTCAAAGCATTTAATGGAATTGATCTACTAAATTAGCATTGACAATTTTTAGTGGCTATCTTAAATATACATTATTATCATGAAAGAATTAGTCCAATTAAGCATTTACATTTGGAAGATGCCCAGTTTGACCTTGTTCTACTCAGTGTAAAAAGTGAGAGCGTCTCTGGACTTACTTAAATATGATGCTAAATGAATAAGTTTGGGTGATCCCTTACTGCCATTTGGAAAGAAAAAAACCCCCAAAGTTTCTTTATCATGACAAATGAGTTATTAGAAAGGTTTTGTATTGCAAATAAAAACAATGGCCAAAAATTAGAATAGAACAATGTTTAATAACTAAATCAGAAGAGTCAACAAGAGTTGGGTTGTTTTTCTCACTATTTCTTACTACAACCGTATATTATTACTGTGTATACTGAACATATTAGGTGCAAAGGCCATGCACTTTAAACTGAAATAATTATATTGCATTTAATATCAGGTTTTATTTAGAACATTCTGAATTTATAAATAACCAGCTAATTTAAAAAATCTATGCAAATATATATGAAGCAATAAGTATGGGATTTTTTAGAAATTTACTTTCTGTACATCCACAATATATTTTATTCTATTAATATAGACCTCCATGAGCATAAATACCATGAAAATAAAATTGAGTTTTGCATTTTCAGCTTAATTGTACAAAGATTCTGATGATGGCTGATTATTCATATTTATTATGAAATTGTGGGGTCCTAGCTCTGGAAGGGGCTCCTTAAGAGGCCAGTTCCTTAATTCACTGGGGCTTATATGTAACCTTCGCCATTGGAGCCAAGGAGCTAGCTCTTTTGTGAAAGCATTCAGTAAAATATATTTTAGTTTTGTTGTTGTTGTTGCTGTGTTGTTATTATCCATTACACTATTTAATGGTCCATTTCCCTAACGTAGGCTTCTGACCTAGCCATTTTGGGACATTTCTAGTAGAAAAAGATTTATACTTTATGTAAGGTATCTTCAGAATTTGAGCATTGTAACTAATATACCCCCAGCTATCTCTTCCATAAATTGAGTAATCCAGATCTATAAACTGAATAATCCAATTCTCATTTATTAACCCCTTAGCTTTTCTATATTCTTCCCTTAATTGATCAGCAAATTATTCATACCCATCTTTAAACAGAGCTCCAAGGGGGAGTTTAGTGCTTTAGTGGGGTATCTTGAGGAATATGGGAGGACAATCTCATTCATTCTTTCACAAAAAAATTTTGTTTTCAATCATTCTTAAGGATTTATCGAAAGCCCCTCTTGTCAGACTGCAAGGTGTTGGGAATACACCAAGGAAAAAGAAGCTTGGGGGAGAGGAAGACCTGCCAACAAATAACGGCAATACAGTGTGGTAAGTGCTAATCTGGGTGTATACAACATGTGTTTGTACATCATAGTCCTAATTCTGCATCCATTGTCAGAATTGTATTTTAAACTACTATTTACAATGCTCATTGATAATCAAATTTCTATCCAAATAATTTCAAATTCTTTATTTTCCATAACCCAGGAATATTTAGAGCACATTGTTCATAGGTTTGATTCTGAATTTTATTTCTGGCTATTTGTACAGTTTCATCCCAAATTATTATTTTACCTTTTGAACGCCCTTTTTTGGCATCTCTGTCATTCAGTTGGATGTTATATTATAGAACACCATTTGTGACCTCCTAAATTTGAATGCTTTAGTGATTGTTCCCCAGCCAGGCTGTAGTTAGCTAATGAACAGTTGTCTGCTCCTGGTCATATTTTACCAGCATGTCTTCTAAGACAGGATCAAAAGCCTTCCCAATGTCAAGCTAGGTTTCATCAATTTATTTTCTGTGACCTTCCTTACCAGGCCTGCCACTTGGCTATGTTAGAAGATGACTGGATAAGTTCTTTGTGAAGTCATATTGGTTATTCATGAGTTCTGGTTACGTTGGTTCTTTTCTCAGGCTTTAGGCCTCTACTTAGGTCTCTGACCATTACGCCAAAGTAGAGACAGTAATTCTGTACCGCTCGTTCTGTGTTGTCAGATGGAAAAAATTAGAGCCAGGGCTATTAGGAAAGTGGGCAAGTCCTGCAACCTGGTCGCAATCTGTCACATGGCAGCATTCACTCCCGCATAGTCCAGCACTTATCGTGGCATGAGGCAAGCTTTTATCTGGTCACGATGGGCAGGTTTTCCCCATTTATTGATTTGTAATACACCATTCATGTTCATTGTAGTAAAATATGACAGGATAGATAGCAAAATGATAAAAGGTGAAAAACAAAAACCTCTTGTAGTTCCCCTATCTAGAGATTAGCATTGTTAATATTTTGGTATACAGATTTCTGAAGTATATGTAAAATGTGTATATTAAACATACATTTTATTTTACAACTTATTTTTTTCACTTACTACTATGTAGAGTTCATTTTTCGAAGGTAATGTACATCATATAACCATACAAATTTACCTTTTCAATACTGGTATCAGTTGCATTCTTTATATTGTTTTTTTTTTTAAGATTTTTATTGGGGAATTGGGGGAAAGGGAACAGACAACTTGCTGTCCTTCTGTTCTTCAGTCTAGTTGTGGAGGATATTGCTTCACTGGCCCAAGTTGGCACCATCATTGCACTCTTCCTGGGCGAGGCAGATCAGTCGCCGGCTTCTGGATGGCCACTCACTGTAGCTGCTGGCTGCTCATGCTGGCTGCTGGCTACACACAGTAGCCAATGGCAACCCACTGCAGCAGGGGCTGCAGCCTACGCCATTGCCGGCGACTCACGGCAACCCAGCTCCAGGTTGAGCTGTTGTTCAGCATTTTAGCTGTAGAGGGCAGTGTCACTGGCCCTCATGTGGGATCCGAACTGGGGCCCTCTGGCGTCCCAAGCCAGCTCTTAACCAACGCGCCACTCGGCCGGCCCCTTTATATTGTTTAATAACACTTCCCAAATTCCCTGAGTAAAAAGAGACTCCTCCTCCATACATGCGTCTCTTGTGGTATTGTTTTAAATTTAAGTAGAATCCTGATTCTTTTAGTAGCTATGGTCTCTGAGAGTAGGATTGGTTCATGATTTATCCGTATGTTCCTTAAATTTTAGCTGCATAACAAATATTTATCAAATAAATGAATAAATTAACTTTGGGAATTAAAATCTTGAACCTTTGTGTTTTGGTCTTAGTTTTGCCTCTGGTTTTAGTTGATAACTCAGTTTACCCAGGGACTGAAGGAAAATAAAGCAATTCCTCACTTAACCTGCTATGAAGTATGCTGCAGAAGGTAATGTACCACATGATTGAAAACAATCTCTTCATATTAACCTTTTTGGTAATATTTAAGTTCTTTTCGATGCTCTACAAAATTTATTATTTTCTTAGCAAGTAAAACAAATGATGGTACATATTAAGAAAATACAAGAAAGGAGAAAAAAACACCTATAATCCTACTACCCAGAAATAAACCACATTAGTATTTTGATGTATGTCCTTCCAACCTTCTTTTCTATGCATTCCAATGAATGTGAAATATAATTTTCACTTAGATTTTTAAAATCAAAATGGGGTCATAACAAATTACTATTTGTAACTACTTTTTGTCATTAATACATTGGGTATTTAAGTTGCTATCTATTTTATGCATTATACATTACAAACAACATTGTAACAAATACCCTTGTTCATCCGTCTTTGGGCACTTGTCAAGGAAAGGCTTTTAAATATCTCTGTTAAAATATCTAAAGTTAGGTAAGCTTGTATCCCTTTTTCCTTCCATCTCAAAATTAAAACAAAATATATCTTATTTGAATTTCTCCAGTATATGAGATGGCCTAAGATTTAAAAAATATTAAATTGGGGGCATGCTACCCTGATTGATGGTAATGGAATTACTTTCTTTTTCAGATTGATTCTAGAAGACTTGCTTGGCCTCATTTGGTCTTTTGTGGCATGAAAAGTGGCCTTTCTTTCTTAGATTTAGTCATATAAATAAATGGAAGAAATAAGAATATAAATGTCCATAGTTCCTGGAAGAAGATGCTACCTAGCTGAATCTTTGTGTAATTTCATAAAACTATGGGTTTGTAGGGAGATTGGTTTCTGTGATCAGCCCAAGTTTCCAGTTTTCGTATGTGTAAGTAAGGACAGTGCTATCACTCTTTTCATAGGGCAGTGAGAGTAACAACCAATGGAAACAACGGCAAAGTCTCCATAAATGGCTGTCAATGTGGGTAATATCACAGCAGTGCTTTCAGTTAGAAAACACGATGCACTCTTCACCCTCTTCTGCCAACCTTTGCAATTTTACTAGCCATTGTCACCCCAATAAATGTAATGAAAAAAAGAGAAAGAAAACACAATGCAAGTTGCACCCATATCTGTGGGAATCGTTCATTATTCTTGAGAAAAGCGATGGCATTTGCCTCAGTTGTTGCATTAATGCTAAGCAATATTTACAGCTAAGTTTATTAGATAAAAACACCTACTAGATCAAAGCATTTGTAAGGAGGATGGCCAAGTGGAGTGGGCACCAGATTCCACTCTTCTTGTGTTGTTGTTGTATTGGGTAAGTCACACAGCCTCCCTTGCCTTAATTTAGTAATCTATATTTTAAAAAAATCTAATATTTACCAAGTGTTTACTAAGTGATAGTTTCTTTTAAGTTTAAGTGTTCCTCCTCAATGTATATTTATATTATTTTATTTAATTCACCCATAACTAATGAAGTAAATCTCACTATTATCCTATTTTATAGTTGAGAACACCAAACTATAGAAGATACTCTACTTGATCAGTTCCTCAAACAGAAAGTATTGGAGTCAGGATTTGAACCCTGACCATCTAATTCCAGAGTGTGAGCTCTTAACCACAACTTGATGTCGCCTGTCTCTGTTTTAAACAGAAAGGTAGGGCTATATGATTTTATGGTCCCTTCTCTCTGTAACTCATATGAAACTCTAACTTCAAGTATCTCTGTGAAAAGTGAAAAATGAACTGGCTTCTGGATACTTACAGACACCCCCCAAACATCCAGATATCGACCTTTTAAAACTTTTTAACCCGGATGCTTTACAGTCTGTGTTCCCAGCCTCTTGTGTTTTGACACTAGTCAGGTCTAGGTGAAGGAATCAGAAACTGCAGATGACCATCTGCAAGTATCCTATTTAACCTCTAATTACTGGGTAAGAACTTTGAAAATCATTATTAAAGTGTTTACCCATTTCCATGGCATCTACCATGAGTATTTTAAAAAAGCTTTTGTCATCTGATTTGTTGTAGTGGAAGCACTGAAGTAGCCTTATGCATTTTGGGAATGGATAAGAAAAGAAAAAGTTGCTACTCTTGTTTTCTTAAAATAAATCAGTGTTAATTGGAGATTGTGGGATTTTATAATTGGGAGCTGAAGAATAAAGAAAGATCATTATTTTTATTTTAAATAAATCAAAACTGTTAATTGGGATCTGGTCCTATTCAAAACATGAAGTAAATAGGAGATTACTATTTAGTTTTGTCAAGTAAGATAGGATTACATTAATTACATTCACTTGATTAGAGAGTTTTTCCCTAAATAAACTTCCAAGATGAAGTGGTCTATGTTGTGATGTCTTAGAATTTTAAAAAATTAGGAAATTGACAAAATTTCAACATGGTTTTATTTACTTAGTAAAATCATTATGCTAGCAGAAATAAATCTACAAACATATTCTGGATTTTCACACAGCAATTTGGAATACTGAAGTAAATGTGGTGAGTCTGGTTGCCCTGGACTTGTATTCTTCAGCGGTTGAATAGCTGTGTAGTTGTTGGCATTATGTGTCCTAGTACACCACACACACAAAAAAGCAAATGACAGAGAGGAAAGAGGTAGGAGGCAAGAAGGGAAGAAAAGAATCATGGTGGACCAATGCACTCTGAAGAGAAAGGTGAAGGACATCTGAGCCTCAGGCCAGAGAGTTGAGGTAAACTCAGCTCCTACAAAAAGGCATTGTGGGGTCTTTGGGTCCCGCAGAGCCAACAGGGCCTCTGCATTATAGATCTCATTGGGAAGATGTTCAAGCAACAAGTAGTATTGGACTTGAATTTATCTGCCTTAGAAGGAGGCTATGGTGAACCTTGTTTGAGTTAGCAAACATGGCTCCAGAGAGCCAGTGTGTAGTAGGATGAATTGTGGCGCAAATGAAGAACTGCTGGACAGGAAATGGGGTGGCGGACTCTCAATGCCAGTGCTGCTGATTGCTGGCTGTGTAGTCTGGGCAAGTCTCAGTCTGTGCTCAGCTTCCTCTTATGTAAAACAAGGAGTTTGATATTGGATCCTAGAACAATGATCTCTGAGGTCATTCCCAAATTTTGGGCATCCTGGTTACAGAAGCCAGGGTCCACAGG